TTGGCATCTCTTATGTTCTTATGTTCTTATGTTCTTATGTTCATCACCTCCTGCCTGGTCCTTTTAACTGGAGATGCCAGGGATTGAACCTGGGACCTTCTGCATGCCAAGGTGAGGCTCTACCGCTGAGCCACAGCCCCTCTTTACAGCTCTCCAGGGTCTCAGGCAGAGGTCTTTCCCATCACCTCCTGCCTGGTCCTTTTAATTGGAGATGCCGTGGATTGAATCTGGGACCTCCTGCAAGCCAAGCAGGGGCTCTTCCACTGAGCCACAGTCCCTCTTTATAGCTCTCCAGGGTCTCAGTCTTTCCCATCACCTCCTGCCTGGTCCTTTTAACTGGAGATGCCGGAGACTGAGCCTGGGACCTTCTGCATGCCAAGGTGAGGCTCTACCACTGAGTCATCGCTCCTCCCTCATAAAGGGATAGAGTTCACCCTCCAAAACAGCCATCTTCAGGAATGTCTCATGCTGGAGTTGGCAACCCTGCTTATATACTGAATCCGATCTTGGTCAGTCAAGATTAGTACTGTCTACTCTCACTGGCAGTGGCTCTCCAGGGTGTCAGGTAGAGGTCCTTTACGTCACCGACTACCTGGTCCTTTTTAACTGGCTATCCCGGGGATTGAACCTGGGACCTTCCGCATGCAAGGCAGATGCTCTGCTGTACCACTGACCCAGAAACCCTTCCCTTATGCCGTCTAGTTTTCTGGCATCTACCCCACCCCAGGATTTTATATTATTATTATTATTTGCCATCAAGTAGAAGCTGACTTACAGTAACCCCACAGGGTTTTCAAGACAAAAGACTTCAGATGTGGTTTGCCATTGCCTGCCTCTGCAAAGGAATCCCAACCCTAAAGTTGTTGCAGACACCGCTTACGCCTGTGTACCTTCCACCACGTCTCCTCTAGTGCAAACGCGCCACGGAGCCTCTGACTTACCCCCCAGCATTCTTTTGGGTGGAAGAGCCGGGACCATCCGGTATGGGAACTTCTGAAGGAGTGTCTCGTGAAAGACCACAAAGTCATTATACCGTCGGTACACCGAGCACTTGAAACGCTGCAAGGGAGAGAAAGAGGGAGGGAGGTTCAGCGTTTCGGCAGGATAGCACAGCCCGTCCTCGGGAACCAAAGCGCCGTCTGGTCCGGCGAGCTGTCTCCACAAACTGCCAACTTGGCAAAGCTTCAAACAAGGGATGACAGCAACAGGCCTTCTTTGCCTTCATTGTTCATTCCCCCAGCAACCGACACAGTAAGCCACAGTGCCACTGAACATGGAGGTTCCATTAAGCTCGTGGGCTCCTCATTCGATCATATAATTCTGCTCGCCATTCCAAGCTCTAACAAAACAGATCACTTTTGACAACAGCATTAATAGTCTACTCTGGAGTCACGGAACTTTAGGTTTTCCCTGCCAATTATGGCTGCTGTTAGTATTAGCTTGTGCATGAATGTATGTGTGTGTGTGTGTATTTGTAATTTCGTCAGCTTTCCACCTCAGTCAGGACTCAAAGAGACTTACAACATTGTTCTCCACTCCTTTGTTTTCTCACAATAACCCTGTGAGGAAGGCCAGGCAGAGAGTTTGTGATGGATCCAAAGTCACCCAGTGATTTCATGATATAGAAGTAGGAATTCGAACCTGGGTCTCCCAGGATCCCAGAACAAAACTCTATCCCAGGGGTCCCCACCCTTTTTTGAGTCTGCAGGTGCCCTTTGAATTTGGACATCGGGTGGTGGGTGTGGCCACAAAACGGCATCAACAAAATGGCTGCTGCAGAAGGCGAAGTCAGGCAGAAAATGGCTGCCACAACTTACTTCCAATCACACACTGTGATTGTGGCAGCAACTGCGGCCAAAGCAATTTTCAGTGGTCGATCAGAGGCCTTGCTGAGCAGAAGCCTCAAATGGCCCCTATCACTTTCTAAAAACACTTGGCGGTTACCAGAAAAGATGTCAATCGCTGCCATTGTGTCGGAGACCAACATGGTGCCCATGGGCACCAGGTTGTGGACCCCTGCTCTATTCACTACCCTGTGCCGGTTCTCACCTTAGCAACCTCTTTTTTTCTCTCTCAACCAGCCAGGAAGGATAATTTAGAGATTAGGCAACACAATACAGTCTGCCTGTCATTTTGTAATTACTTCTGAAATTCCTTTCCGATCTGGCACAGTTAACCGACTCTCCCAAAGTACAGGATGCTTGGATCGGCTTTCAGACTGTGCCGCTCTTGAAGAGAGGATGAAGTAAGGTGTGTCACATGAGCCTGGAAATTAAGCTAGGGCTCCGAAGTGGACACTTGAGAGGATTTTTTGGTAAAGAACAGGACGCGCGTGGCTTTGGCCCTGTGGAAAAGTTCAACCGGCAGGTGATTTTCACCAATTTGTTCCTCCCACTACGGACCTCTGACTCTTCCCCAAATCATGCTGTTCGGGGGGGGGGGTCAGGAGTCATTTGGGACCGAAGGGAGGGTGGGGGGTGGAAAAGCAAGGAAGTCCCATTCCATTGATGGTCACCATTTCCACTAGTGGAGGTTTATCATGGGATCCAAAAGCCCATAGTTTGAATAAGAGCCAGTGTGATGCAGTGGTTAGAATGTCAGACCAAGATCAGGAAAACCTAAGTTTCAATCCACACGCGTGCCACAGAAGCTCACTGGTGACCTTGGGTCAGTCGCACCCCCCTGAGCCTACCTTGTAGGGTTGTTGTGAAGACAAAACAGAGGCAGAGAATGATGTAAGCTGCTTCGAGTCCCCACGGGGGAGAATCATAGAGTGGCCATAGAGACCCATCTAGTCCAACCCCCTGCTCCATGCAGGACCAGCCTAGAGCATCCCTGACAAATATTCATCCAGCCTCTTCTTGAAAGCTGCCACCTCCCTAGGCAGCTGATTCCACCTCTGAACCACTCTGACCATGAAAAAGTTTTTCCTAATATCTGGCCAGTACCTTTCTGCATGTGACTTAAACCCTTTGCTTCGGGTCCTCTCCTCTGCTGCCAACTCCTTGCCCTCCTCCAAATGACAGCCTTTCAGATATTTAAAGAGCGCAATTATGTCCCCCCCTCAATCTCCTCTTCTCCAAACTAAACATCCCCAAGGCCCTTAGCCTTTCCTCGTAGGGCTCAGTCTCCAGAAACATGCGAGTATAAATGAATGAAAGAAATTAATTAATTAAATAAATATGTATTAAAACCATCTGGATAAAAATGGTTAAAAGATCAGGCCCAGATAACCACAGAAAGGCAGATGAGAAGGAGATTGTGCCTAAAGAAGGGATGTTTTGGAGGTTTATACTACATCACATTGAAGTTTGCCTTATACTGGATCAGACCCTTGTTCTATCAAGGTCAGTATTGTCTGCTCGGGCTGGCAGCCGCTCTTCAGTGTGTCTGGTCCTTTTAAACTGGAGATGCCGGGGACTGAACCTGGGACCTTCTGTGCACCAAGCAGATGCTCTTCCACTAGGCCACAGCCCCTCCCCCATCCAAATAAGCTGCTTTCTCACTTGAAAGCCACTCAGCTGTGCAGATGAGAAGGTGGGTTGCAGCAAAAGAAAGAAAACTTTCAATTTTCTCTGCCCCACCCCAAAACTAGGCTGCAGGCATCCCCCTATTTGTCCACACGACTCGGGGTTGGCAAGGTATCCCAAGCCCAGCAAAAGCATCTCTGTCCTGCACGGACCGATCCAAAAACAATCCCACAAGAGACAATGCGAAAGAATCCTCAACTTGAGCACCCTGCCACCTTATTAGAAGCCCCTCACCACAAAAAAATTCAGAACCAGAGTTCTGCATCCGTCCAGCAAGCGGATGCTCCTGAGACTGGCCATTCAACCCCACAATCTCAGCCCTTCAGGTCCTGAACTGGCCAAACTGATTAAGAACAAGGACTCCATCACAGCTCCTTCTGTCTGCCGCCAAGCTGAGTTTTACCTTGCTGGAAACTTCATATTCCACGTGTTTGAGAAAAAGTCCCTTTTTCTCTGGGATCAGCTCCACCTGCACCGTGTCTTTGCCCAGCAGCTCCGGCAGGGTGTGAGAGACCACCAGTGGGTTTCCCGGGGGCGTCTGCATCGGCGGCTCTTCAGGGTCCCTCCCGTCGCTCAGTGGAGGCTTCGCCGAATCTGGGAGAGAAACAACACCAGGAGAAGAAAATTCAGTATATCCAATGCCAAGTTTGGGGCAGAGATAACGGGGAAGCCGTCTCCACTTGCTGCCGGGTTTCCCCCAAACCCACAAAGCAAGCCCCCCCCCCTCGGTAGTTGTGCCTACCAAAGAGTAAGCAGTTTCTTCTCTAACTTGCACTTGGCCTTAATTACGATTCGGCAAAGGAAAAAAAGCCCGACAGCTCTTTTCAAGCTGGGAGCCAAACCAAGCCGAGAGGCCTGCATTTCCTGCTCAACCCGTTTGTGCTCAAGCAAGAATTGGGACAGCTGACTCGGCACGGCTGGATCCTGCTTCCAGCCCCGGGAAGGAAAGGGAACTGTTATTTTAAAGCCCCAGCTAGGAAGGAGATCGCTTGAAATCCCCACCAGCTGTCAAGGCGAGAGAAGAGAGGTCGTTCTGGAAGGCAGGTAGGGCAGGTGAAGTGGAGATATAACAACTCAACGCAAGAAGTCCAGATTATTTAGTAAGACTAGGCGCCAGGAAGACTTATCTCTCAACTTTATCTCTCAACTTTGTCTCTCAACTTTGCTTCATCACCGAACTCAAGATATTTTTATTTACTTCGCTCTTATGCCTTTCATCCCTGTGGGGACCCAGAGCGGCTTACATCACTCTCCTCGCCTTCATTTTATCCTCACAACAATCCTGTGAGATAGGCTATGCTGAGAGCATGTCCATGGAAGAGTGGGCATTCGAACCTGGGTCTCCCAGATCCTTGGCCAACACTGTAACCCAGAGGTGGCAAACTCATTTGTTATGAGGGCCGGATCTGACATAAATGAGACCTTGTTGGGCCGGGGCCATGTGTGTCATAAAATGTAATGCCAGGTAGCAGAGATATAAACTTTATAAAGGACACAAACACAAAGGTTTTTTTTTTAATCTTAAAAATAAAAACATGCTTAAAACATCAGCACTCTTGCAATAATAGTATCTGATAACTGACACCTCTCGCTCTGAATTATTGCATCAAAATGTCTGTGCTGTTGCAATCTTGAGTATATCTGTAAGCTGCAAACCTACTTTTGATTTATTGACATTCACCACAGAATAGGTATTTGACTGTTTATATGACGACAGCCGCAAGAATCTTATATGCCAAATATTGGAAAACCATGGTGAATAAACTGTTTGAAACAGCAGAAAATGATAAACTGACTCTAGAAATGAGATTAAGTAAAGAGTGGACATTTCAAAAAACATGGAAAAAGTTTTATGATTGGTATAATGCCAATGTAATAGAAGTCTAGGCAAGAATAGCGCAATGGGCTTGAGAACACAGAAGATAGAAGAATGGAAAGTATTTGATATAGAGTTTTTATTAATTAAGTAATTGCATATAAGCATATAATGTAACTGTACTCTTGGTATATATGTTATGTGTAGTAGAATGTCTGTAGTGTGTAGATTTGTTTGTTGTAGATTTTTTAAAAATAATAAAAGTGTACCTATGGGTACTTAAAAAAAAGAAAGAAATCTCACGCTCAGAGTTCAAAGTCTAGGACCCAGGGGGAAACATGAAATGGCTGAGCGAGTGAGAGAGTCTGGCAAAGCAAGCTATGATGCAGCAGCAGCAACAAACTGGAAGCAGGAAATCGCCAGTTCCAGTGCAGGCCTGATAGAAGCCCTCTGGGGGCCTGATCCAGCCCCCGGGCCACATGTTTGACACCCCTGCTCTAACCACTACTCCCCAATACTGGATCTCACAGGCTGCCCATACAGACGCTGACAACACACACAGAAATGTGGGGCATGACATTTCCAGAAATGCTTTATTCATTTTCACAGAAAATTTTCTATTCCTAAAGATCTCTCGTTTCATAAATCTAAGAACAATGGAATGGAAACCATCACCATTTAAGATATTTCTATGCTTCCGTTATAAACAGGGTTGCCAACTCTCAGTTGGGAGATTCCTGGAGATTTTGGGGGTGGAGCTTGAGGAGGGTGGGGTTTGGGGAGGGGAGTGACCTCAGTGGGGTATAATCCCACAGAGTCCACCCTCCAAAGCAGCCATTTTCTCGTGGGGAATTGATCTCAGTCACGTGGAGATCGGTTGTAAAAGCGGGAAGATCTCCAAGTGCCAACTGGAGGTTGGCAAATCTACCTATAAAGTCCTGCCCAAAGCGTTTTCGCAGTTTAAAAGTATCAAGTAACCCCAGCTGTTTCAAAGTTATAATTAATGTTTATCACGTGGTTATCCTTAGGAATTAGCAACAGGGTATGTGTATGTTTGATTGATTTGTAAATGGGAGGGAGGATAAAAGCACAATTGCATACAATAATCCGTGTTTTATGGGGGGGAATCAAGCTATGAATTCACCTGAACGTCTGTGAAGGCCAAATCAAAATCCAAGCGAAAATCCTTATTTATGTATATGTCTCCTCTCGCAAGGTGGAAAGGGATTTTATAATCCACAATCTGTTCCGACACGTAATGCAAATTGTAAGTCATCACATGGCTGATTGTACACCTGGTCTTGCTTGTGGTGCACGGTTTTCTGATTTGTTCCTGCCACCCAGCCGTTGCATTGTTTACGGCGCGTCTGATGCTGTTTTTCTGCATTGCGTTGCTTTTCTCATTTTGTAATCTGATGCGAATCTCGGCAAGGAAAGAGGACTACAGGTAAAGCAAATAAAATTTTTAAGAAGCAACGCTTTATACTTGGCAGCAGGCAGAGACGCTTTGGACATACAGTGTCATCTTGTAAGGACTTACAAGGCACATCAGGTTGCCAGTCTCCAGGGAGGGCCTGGCGATCTCCTGGAATTACAATTGATCTCCAGACGATAGAGATGAGTTCCCTGGAGCAGAGGTCTCCAACATGGTCCCTGTGGGCACCATCACACCTGTCAGCACCCTTCCTGATGCTCACCAAGTGTTTTTAGAAAATTAGTGGTGCCAGTTGTGGCCTTTGCCCAGCAAGGCATCTGATTGGCTATGCAGATTTTTAAAATGTTGCTTTGGCGGCAGCTGCCGTCACAAGGCTCTTCACTGCATAGCTGACGGTAAGCTGCCACAGCTATTTTATGGCTTGCTCCGCCTTCTGTGGCTGCCATTTTGTGTCAGAATTCCAAAGGTGCTTGCAGGCTCAAAGGGGAGGGGGGCCTGCCTGGGAGAAACTGGCTACTTTGGAAGGTGGACTCTATGGCATTATACCTCACTGAAGTTCCTTCCCTCCTTGAATTCTGCCTTCTGCAGGCTCAGCCACAGGGAAGCAATGCAAGGTGACTGACTTGTCCGAGGAAGAAAGATCCAAAAAGAGAATTATCACTAGCAAAAATTGTGCTGTCTTGTTGTAACGTGAGATCAGGCAGCTCTTTCTTTAACAAGTGACTTTAGTTTATTAAAACAGAACACAACAACACACAGAACAACGCGAACCTATATGCAGTTTGGAACTGGCTAAACCACACCCCTAGAACAGTAAGGTCCAATCATAAGTGAGTGCTTAGGACCAATAGGGTTTGTTCCCGCCGAAAGTCATAGTCTTCCCTGATTGGCTGCTGTTGCGCAACGGCAGTCAATCAGGCTGCAGATTTTCGGATACTGAGAGCCTATGGAGCTTGTGACTGAAGCTCAGGTTCATTCTATAATTCAGGCTATGCATATAACACAATACATAACATGGCTCCATTAGCCTTAGAGCTCCATGAACATAAGAACATAAGAAGAGCCCTGCTGGATCAGACCCATAGTCCATCTAGTCCGTGCTTCTCAAATAGAAACTGTGATGCAGTGTTCTAGATAGAGTTTACATAGTGTGGTGGGCTCAGACACAAAATGGCTGCCACAGGAGGCAGAGCTGGCCACAAAATGGTTGCCACGGGGGTGGAGCCGGCCACAAAATGGCTGCCACAGGAGATGGAGCCAGCCACAAAATGGCTGCAACATCTTACCTTTAGTCAGACAGTGAATATTCTTGTGCTGTGGTGGCAATTTATGAAAACAATTATTAAAAAAAAATCTGCACAGCGCATAAAATCCATAGCAGCCAAACAGAAGTCTTGTTAGGGAGGAACCCCACGTGGTCCCACCCACTTTCTTAAAAACACTTAGTAGGTGCCATGCTGCCCATGGGCACTACATTGGGGACCCCTGAAGCATAGTTTCAGGGAACACAACAAGTGCCCACCAGTTTTCAAACGTTTCTGGGAAGGGAAGAGGGCTGGAATTTCACAGCTTGGGGGCCATGGTTGAGAAGGCCCTGCCCAATGTATCCATCAGTCTCATCTCCACTAACACAGAAACACACACCGGAACACTAGTAGCCAATCATAGCTCATTATCTCCACAACCATAATTACAGCCCTGTAAGGTTGCCCAACATTACTCCCATAACAGAAGCAGAGCAGAGGCAACAAGATCATAGCTGAAGAAAGACCACAGGTCAATTCCTGCAGGGGCCAAAATGTAAACAGGGGGTGTGGCTCTGTGGTAGAGCACCTGCTTGGCATGCAGAAGGTCCCAGGTTCAATCCCTGGCATCTCAAGTTAATAACGGCCAGGCAGTAGGTGATGGGAAAGACCTCTGCTTGAGACCCTGGAGAGCTGTCAAGAGGGGCTGTGGCTCAGCGGTAGACGCTCTGCTGGAGAGCTGTGGCTGTGGCTGTGGCTCAGAGAGCTGTGGCTGTGGCAAAGAGGGGCTGTGGCTCAGCGGTAGATGCTCTGCTGGGCATGCAGAAGGTCCCAGGTTCAATCCCCGGCATCTCCAGTTAAAAAGGACCAGTCAGGAGGTGATGTGAAAGTCCTCTGCCTGAGACCTTGGAGAGCTGTAAAGAGGGGCTGTGGCTCAGCAGTAGAGCCTCTGCTTGGCATGCAGAAAGTCCCAGGTTCAATCCTAAGCATCTCCAATTAAAAGAACCAGGCAAGAGGTGATGGGAAAGACCTCCGCCTGAGACCCTGGAGAGCTGTAAAGAGGGGCTGTGGCTCAGTGGTAGAGCATCTGCTTGACATG